GGAAGGGATAGAAAGAGAAGGAGAGAGGGTAGGAGGGGGAAGAGTAAGAGAGGAGTAGGGGAGAGGTAAGGGAAGAAGGAAAGAGGAAAGGAGAGGAAGGAGGGAAGGGATAGAAAGAGAAGGAGAGAGGGTAGGAGGGGGAAGAGGAAGAGAGGAGTAGGGGAGAGGTAGGGGAAGAAGGAAAGAGGAAAGGAGAGGAAGGAGGGAAGGGATAGAAAGAGAAGGAGAGAGGGTAGGAGGGGGAAGAGGAAGAGAGGAGGAGGGGAGAGGTAGGGGAAGAAGGAAAGAGGAAAGGAGAGGAAGGAGGGAAGGGATAGAAAGAGAAGGAGAGAGGGTAGGAGGGGGAAGAGGAAGAGAGGAGTAGGGGAGAGGTAGGGGAAGAAGGAAAGAGGAAAGGAGAGGAAGGAGGGAAGGGATAGAAAGAGAAGGAGAGAGGGCAGGAGGAGGAGGAGGAAGAGAGGAGTAGGGGAAAGAGAAGGGAAGAAGGGAAGGGGAAGGAGAGGAAGGAGGGAATGGATAGAAAGAGAAGGAGAGAGGGCAGGAGGAGGAGGAGGAAGAGAGGAGTAGGGGAAAGAGAAGGGAAGAAGGGAAGGGGAAGGAGAGAAAGGAGGGAATGGATAGAAAGAGAAAGAAAGAGGGTAGGAGGAGGAAGAGGAAGAGAGGAGTAGGGGAGGGGTAAGGGAAGAAGGAAAGAGGAAAGGAGAGGAAGGGGGGAAGGATAGAAAGAGAAGGAGAGAGGGTAGGAGGGGGAAGAGGAAGAGAGGAGTAGGGGAGGGGTAAGGGAAGAAGGAAAGAGGAAAGGAGAGGAAGGAGGGAAGGGATAGAAAGAGAAGGAGAGAGGGTAGGAGGGCGAAGAGGAATAGGGGAGGGGTAAGGGAAGAAGGAAAGAGGAAAGGAGAGGAGGAAGGAAGGAAGTAGAGAAGGGAGGAAGGGTGAAAAAAATAGGATGATGACAATACAAATTAGATATATGGGATGGTAAGGGAAAAAAAAACCCGGGATATATATTTTAACTTTTTATATGGAAAAACAAACATGTAACAGAGATACAGATAAATAAGAACAACCATGTGAATGTATACCTGTAGCTATAAAAATTATTTTCTTTAAAAAAAGGAGGAGGCAGATTGTGGGGGCCCCACCCAGTGGGATTGGCAGCTCCACCTTCGGGTAACCAGGGAGGGAATCGCACCGAGGCCAATCCTGTGCCAATAATGCCAGAACCGACGGAGGTTGGCCTAACCAAGCTGGCTCATCGAAGGCTTGCCGGCTGCGGAAAGTTTTTAAAAATGCAGAGGGGAGCGGCAAAGGAAAGCTTGAGTCAGCCCTGTTTTTTAACTGTACCATTTCTTTTTACGATTACTATTACAGCCTAAACTTGGTGTCGATTTCCTCTCTGCTGGGATACCCTCCCGGCGTCCACACGCAGCTGAGCCCAAGCCAGCCGGCTCAGGAGAAGGGGAGCGAGCCCTGGGCGTGCCAAGGAGGCTTGGAAGTCAATCCGCCTGCAGCACCGGTGAGAAAAAGAAGGCGGCTTATTCCAAAGAGCCCTTTCCCCCCCCCCGAAGAGTTGAACGAGAAGGTCGCCAGCTGTCGTTGCGGTGCGAGGGGTCCTGTTTTGTTTCCGCCGTTCCCAAACACACCCTGGGAGTTCCCAGACCTTTCTACACCGCCTGGGAGAAAGCCACAACTTGCAAGGAGAGGAAATCTGATGCCGGTGACTCAGAGGGAGGGACGGAGAGCAAATAGACGACAGGAGGGATTACTCGGAAGAAGCGCCACCGAAAGATCCCAGCTCCAAGGAAGCAGGGGCAACCGAGCAGCCCTCCTTGGCTAGGAAAGGACATTCCAGACCAGTGGAGACCCTCGTTCCGGTTGCAAAAGAACCGTGCCAATTCACTGTCGTTGTCCCCACCCCGCCCCATGTGCCTGCCAGCAGGGAAGAAGCACGATGCCGTGATGGGCTCAGCCACCGGAGCCTGGTTGCTCCCGCCCTGGAAGCAGGATCCCGGGCAGCGCTGGGGGCGGAGGCTGCTTTCCCGGTGGGGCCACAGCCTGCCCCTGGTGGCCACCGTCGTGACGTGGCTGGCCACGGGCTCCACCATGTCCGGCCTGAACAAGTGGATCTTCGCCACCCACAATTTCCGCTACCCGGTCTTGCTGTCCTCCTTACACATGTTGACGGCGGTGGTGGTGGGGAGGCCTCTCGCCAGGCTCCGGGACAGAGGAGGAGGAGGAGGAGGAGGAGGCTCCGGCTACCCGTCCCTCCACCCCAAAACCCGGCTCCGGGTTTTCCTGCTGAGCCTGACTTTCTGCGCTAGCGTGGCTTTTGGGAACCTGGGGCTCAACCACGTCCAGCTGGACTTTGCCCAGATGGTGTATACCACGACCCCACTCTTCACCCTCACCCTCTCGGAGCTGCTCCTGCGGAAGCGCCATCACCCCTTGCAGTACGCGGCCATGGGCCCCATTTGCTTGGGGGCCGCCCTGAGCTTCGTGGGCGAGGTGCACTTCGACCAAGCCGGATGCTGCTTCCTCTTCGCCGCCACCTTCCTGCGAGGCCTGAAGTCCATTCAGCAGAGTAAGTGAGCCGGGGGTGGTGGCGAAGGCAGGCTTGCGCCAATGGGGGCCGCAGGAAAGTGGGGGGGGCATCAACTCCCACCTTCAAGTGGCCCAAGGTTGAGAAAGATTGTTCTAGTGTTGAGTTGCTAAGCGTCTCTCCCTCTCGCTAATCTGTCTGTCTGTCTATCATTTATCTATCATCTATATTATTCTATCAGTATCTATATCATCTCTATCTGTCATGTAGAATCAATCTATCTATCTATCTATCTATCTATCTATCTATCTATCTATCTATCTATCTATCTATCTATCTATCTATCTATC